GCTCAGCCAAAGACCACTATCGAAGACGGGCCTCGTGAAGGACGTCACTCAAACGACATACCCACACTGAACCACCACGAATGTGCAGTTGTACCCTGCATAAGCTTTGATGACCTCTTGGCTGAACGCTCCGCAGGGTACACTGAAACAGGCTCCAAGGCAGGCGTTGCTCTTTCTATGCCAAGTTCCACACCGGGACCCATCTCACGAACTTCCGTGCCAGCAACCAATGCCATTTCCAAGACAGAGCTGTCGGAGACAACCGTGGATAGCAAGGAGACATTCTTGGACCAGTGTGTACCACATCTGCAGTCATTGGCCGAGCGTGTGAGCTACATCGATGCGTTCCAGGCAGAGAGAGCCAGCATCGGCCTTTCTGGCAACAAGTTGTACGATCTTGCCGACGACGACAAGCACGCCATTCTGACTCTGAACGTCGCGCAGACCCCCATGAAGTCGTCACCATGGAAATCACCCCTGATGTTCAGGCCATGACCAGCTAGGTCAAAACAAGAGCGACAACAGCAAGGAAGCAGCGGGCACGTCGCATCATGATTGTGTCCAGTGGCCAGTGAGCACTCACACTCACCCTCTGTTGCGCAAGCACTTTCTGGCTCGGCATTCAAATGCGCATAAAAACCACACCACTCCACTCAGGACGACATAAATGTCTACTCGGCGAGCGATGACTGCTCCAACACACCACTGTCGTCCACCAAATCTCTACACCATGTTACAGTGTCGTAACGACAGACCACCAAGGTACAACCAGTTTCGTACCCCCGAGTCTTGATCGACCAAGGTGCGAGCGAATGCCAATGCCCAACATCAACAACGACACTGTGGCCGACCAAGGCAACAAATACAGTCTCAGCGTGCCAAGTCACAGCCTAGATGGGTCCGGCCTAGGCGAGGAAGTCAATGCCACCCGCCAGAACTGTTTTCACCACGTCTTCCGAACACGTCGAACCTTGGACGGGATCAACTGCAACGATGCAGCCAGTCTCGACCTCCCGATAGACTTATGGCAGACTAAGGCATCCAGTTCCAGCGCGGTCGAGGTCCGACCTCCAAGATGCAGCCAGTATTGACCACCAGATCTACTTCTGGCAGATACCCGAACCAAATCGCAGCATGGCCGAGAGCGTCGGCCGCAATGGGGCAGCCAGTGCCGGCCGCCTGAGTCTACAGCCCTTTTTCTAGAGACATCGTGGCGTGCAAAAGAGCGACCGGCTCGAGGCAGCCAGTGCCGTCCACCAGAGACGCTTTCTCTAGACCGTCGCTCCATCTTGCATTGTGGTCCGGGCTGACCACCACGATGCAGACAAGCCTGCCCACCAAAAACTTTGCAGCCAGCTCCGCGCGCGCGCAGTCATGGCCGAGTGTCATGACCAAGAAAGACGCTGGCACTTCGGCGCGTGGGTAGCTAGAGCAAAGAAGAGAAGGATGAAGACGGAATAAGAACAGCTGGTCCAGGATCGGGTGTTGTCTCTTGTTCTCTGTCTCGCTCATCACAATATATATATATATAAATATATATATATATATATATATATATATATATATATATATATATATATATATATATATATATATATATAAATATATATATATATATAGTGGGAGTAATAATTCAATGGGCCAGTTAGTCTTCGTGAAGGTATGGGATATGGCACAACGGGAGCGTTGTCAACAAGGATAAATATATTATTTCCCAACAGTTTCGGGAGGGGACCTCCCTTCATCAGGGGATGAGTATACTAACATGAGTTTCCAAACTTCCTTGCTGCCGCGTCCCTCTCGCCTTGAAAGACGTTTGCGAGAGTGAGAGGGAACTGGAAGAAGGAAAAAAAGGAGAAAAAAGAAAGAAAAGGAAGAAAGTAAAAAAGAGGAAGAACCATATATATATATATATATATATATATATATATATATATATATATATAATATATATATATATATATATATATATATATATATATATATGCTGTATTACTGGGCGCGAGACAAGTGCGAAGACGAGGAGAACGGTTGCAATGACGCAGTCAACGAAGACGAAGTCCTACGTCCCGGCTTCCTCATCCATGACAGCTGCCAACGTGCTGCCACGGTAAGCGGAACTTGAAAATGGCGTCTAGGCCTCCTCGGCGGCGCCTGACTGCTGCACCCTTACCTTTCTACGACAAGGGAAGGTGTCAACGCTTCTTCAGCCATGAATGCCGCCACCATGAGTTTCGGGAGCAACGCGTACTCCGCTTTCACAATCGGGGACATCGCTGCCACACTGATTGCTGCGACGACCTCATATTCCGTGGCCGCCACCAGGGGCTCTCCGGGCGACGCATTCGAGCATACACCGCTAGAGTTACTGTATATGGTACCTAAACTCTTTGCAGCGCAGATCATCCGCGCCGCCACGAGCCTGTTGCAACAACTGGGCAGCTTGGCGTTACTGGACGTCTCCCTGCTGTTCCTCCTGTGACGCTCCCGTGAGTACCGAGGCCACCGCGGGTACGTTCGCGAACACCGCCCAGGGCTTGTCGAGAGCCTCATCCGTGAACCACGCAGAACACTTGCATGTGCTCACGCAACTATCTCCACAGTGCGATCGTTTGGCAGCGTCAAAGTTTGGTGCTCGCCTGCTAGTTTGTTCCCTTCGACTGTTTGGGGAGTCCTGGTGTTCCACAGCTTGCGGGACAGCGTGTTCGAGTAGGTTTCAACCATCAACTCGCACAGCGCCCTCAATGCCTGGCCACAAGATCACAAATGGCTGGTGGCCGTCGACCACCTTTGAGATGCCGCCAAGGCTTGGCATGCCCGCGAAGGCGTGACGCAACAGCCCTGGTCAGAATGGCGTGCCAGTTTGACGAGTGTTTTCCACCCGCTTTTTGGTACCTGCAACTTTCTTGACGCCGACCAAGTCTCTATGCCGCATGAGAGCTGCGAGGCACACAACCTCGATCGCGCAGCTCAGGTTTTTGCCGTTGTGCCCTCCCTAGAAGACCAAAATGTTGAAGCACACCATTCCGACACCGCAGCTGTGCCCTATGATCCTCGGCAAGAAACATCATCGACGTCCCTGCCAGTGAAGCTCGCCCTGGATAATGCGCACCATTATAGCTATCTGAGTGTGCGTCGATATGTGATGCTACCGTCACACCACCAGGGACTGAGAGCGTTTGCCTCCAACATCAGTCAGAGAAACTGATCTCACATTCATCATCACTTGAAGACATGGAAGCACTGACAGCTGCCGTACAGGGCACTCCACTTCAAGACAAACTATACCAATCAGACAATTTCAATAAGATGGGTTCTCCCATGCCGGAGCCACATCCCCAGATGTCACGCACACCATAGTCATTGATTTAGTGTGCGTAAGTCCGCCTTTTGAGCCTCAGAGAAGGAGACCCCAAGGGAGAGCAAAACTCCAAGCGTTTGAACCTCTTAAAGGCCATCTCTAACTACGATGGTTCGAATACGCACACACTTGTGCGGAGACGCACGAAATGGTTCAGCAGACAACTTCGTAATTTTCGCAAGCCATCTGCGTGGCAACCACTCAAAAGTGAATTATCGCCCATCGCCAGGACAAATGTAAGCCGGCAATGAGACTACGCCGGTACAGCCAGTGTCGCCTCCCTGAACTCCGGCAACTCGGCTAGACAAGTCGCAGTATACATATCTCCAAACACCACGGCACAATCTATTCCCCCTCCAGGGATATCCCTGCAAGAATATGCAGGCAAGTTGCAGCGTTGGGAAGCCCATCCACCAGTGACATATTTCATAGTTTATGAAATCAAACCACTGCGTAGCCGAGACCATCCGCCACCCAATAGCCAAGGCCGACCACCTGAGACACCATAGAGCCAAGCCGCTGTATGGCCGTGACCGATCTCCACGCAACAATCAATGTCGGCCTCCAGAGGTGATTGCACAGCTAGCCTTGAAATGTCACAGCGTGGCCGTGTGTAAGGAAGCAAGATCGGCGCTGCTGCATTGGGACAAGTGAGGCGGGTGCGAAAACTGAGGAGAGTGAAGCAGAATAAGAACCAGCCCCCGCATACGGACGTTGTCTCTTGGTTCTCTGCTTCAGTCTTTACAATACATGTATTGCTGAATATGTTCCTGAAAAATCTTGTTTCGCAGAGGCTTTTGTTCATTATGATGTTTAAATAGCATAGCTTTCATAGTTTTGTATGTTCAGATGAATGAAACATTTAGTGGAGACAATTTCATAAACCTTGTCGAAGCATGTAAATTTATATTCGGTATTTCCGGTGTGGCTTCCAGGAACATCTTTGGCAGCACCTGTAGCTTGTTAGTTCTTTGTATTTTTACGCTGTCATTTCTATTGCGGGTTATTTGTCGGACAGCACGAGCTATACACTTATTCAATATTCTTTGCTGACATATCTTCTTTACGGCACACCAAGCCCGAAAATGGCCCGGCGGCCATTAGCGTTTGCGTCTTCCGAAATTTGGATACTTTTTGAACTACAATTTTTGTTTGTTTTTCCATAAATTTATCACTTGTTACGACATGAAGCAAACCACGAACACGGCTGTGCTTCTGGCAGCATGTTGATTTTGATGTCGTCCAGCATGTTTAAATAGACCTTTTTCTTAAATATCGATATACGCCTAATAGGGTCAGTGAGCGTGTTCACCGGCATTTTGAAAAACACCTTCAGCATTCGATGAACAGACATGGCAGAACTCAAGAGAGCAGCAGTGCTATATTGCATTGAGAAAATTGGGGCATTGTGGCAAGTTCTCCAATGTAATCGAATCGCACAATATGTGTGCCAGTCTGGATCAACTGTGAGATTCTAAACTAGATTTAAGTTTATATATATTCTTGATGCTAAACATGGTGTAGTCTGCGAACGTCGACTGGCTTTTCTTGAAAGGATAAGTACACACTTACCACCGACAAGTGAACATGAAGAACTGTTCATACAATAAATCAGTCAGGAAAGAAAAGCAGCCAGCAGTTTTTTATCAACCTTTTTTTTTCTTTTTATTAGGAACAGCTCAACACGAAACTTCGGTCTTGCAGGTGGGCTAACAGTGGCGACATCTGAAGTTCTTCAAGCAGTGCCTTTGCCAGTGTACGGCCAATAAGTAGACAGCGAGATGAGAAAAAAGAGAGGGAGATGTACATCGGTATTTAAAAGCTTTCGAAGATTACGGGAAGGGATGAAGGGGACCAGCGGGCTTCCGGTGGTCGTGTCGGGAACCACCACTTAACGAATTTATTGCAGCGCTCGAGGAATGCAATGAATTGTAAATGTTCTCACGCTCCGAAAAAGGGGCGCCCTCTCCAATACGGACGAAAGCAAAGCAGAGCAGTGGGAACTCGTGGATTACGGCGACCCTCTTGCTTCGCCAATTTTCGGCGACAACGAAGGCAGCCGCTCGGCTACTGAGGCCTTCTTCCGAACTAGTTTGATTCGATTGAAAATGCATCAGATGTACGCCCGCCCTGAGCGCTCCCCAGCCTTTGCGCGGCGTGGAACGTGCGACGGGAACCGGGAAAAGTGCTCGTCCTTCCATGTTTGCCGTGCTTTCGCTTCCTCACGAACACACACACATGCAAGGAGAGAGAGTGTGCGAGAAAGTGTTAAAGGAAAGGAGCGATAGAGAGAAAGGGCGTTCAAAATTTCTCGCTTTGTCCTAGGATAAGACTTGAAAAATGGGATGTGGTAAGAGTCTGAGCGGTTTCGCACTGTCTGTCTGGCATGTGCACAAAAAGTACGCGCAGGGTAAGAAGAGGTGAAGTTCTTTTTTTTTTTTGTTCTGGAGTATTCCAGCGAATGATGTGTGTTCAAAATTAAAAAAAAAAGCCGGTAAGCGATGCCTGGTAGGGATTTGGTTCCTTAAGTTTCATTCAATTTATCTGGGCAGCTAGCACTGCTCCTTATCTGTACGAAATGTTCTTATTGTGTTTGCTCATTTAACTCAATTCGAAAGCGAAATTTTCTCCCTTCGAGGGGATTCAATAGTGGCAACTTTTGAAAGTCTGAATTCAACAGCATACATGCGTGAAAACATGTCTGTATCATCATTATTTTCAAACATTAACAATTGGAATCGCAATCGCTTCTAATTGTTCCATTACCTAACCAGCCATATGACTATCAATCGTAAAGCAAAATGCAATGGGGAAATACCGTGAGGTGTTCCAGCTCTTATTCTTTGCTCATACGCATCAGCAAGGAGAAACGTTTGCAGGCAGTTGAACATCGATGTCACTGGAGTTATTACTATGCGCGTTATTCCTTATGAACAGTACTATTATGTTTGAAAATAAGTTATTGTTTTTTGGAAACTGAAAAAAAAACTGTATTGGTCACTGCTTGAGCTCTAGTGTGGAGTATTTAACAAGTTCATGAGCATTTGTAGACAGTTTATTACGACTTTTACTGTGCTGCATAAGAAATATCTTGCTCAAACAACTACTCATAGAGCTTTCGTTTGTATGTGTACTTATATCCATTCAAAAAACGTTCTCAATAAAATGACTTTTGGAAACATCAAACTACTAAAATTGTGCCGAGCAGAAAAAGATTTTAAAACACCGAGGAAATTGAAATGAAGTATTTGAACATTTAAATACTATCAACTGTTGCCACACGAGAAACTGAATAGCAGTTCATTTCATTGGTTAATAATTAAGCATACCTTGACTGCAGACATTGCTACAAGTTTTCTAAAGCGAATTTATTTTTAACCATGATCTTTTCAATTATTCTCCTTAGCTAAGCTGTGAAGAATTTACATGAATAATGCAAAAAACATTTGTAGAAGGTCAAGATATGAAATGAAGCAAGGATGAAATAATTAACTGTGAAATTTTAACGCTGTGATGAGCACGAGTGAAATTTTCTGGCTTGATGACATGCCTTTCTCCTACATGCACAAACATGCAGTCCGTTTGTGTGCTTATGTATGTGTGTACACGGGGGAGGGGGAGTGGATAAAGGTTGCTTCCATGCTGGCTCTCAATGAAGTGTTAATATACATCCAGTCACCTCTCAAATTGCATGCAACTGGGTCCCACATAGTGCGGTGTTTAAACAAAGGAAGCCGGGATGATGATTGGTCCATGACAGTATTGAGGATGATCCAAGCAAACATTTGTGCCTGTGAGTGAGACAATATAAGAAATCTGTCGAGATAATGTTACACATTATTGTGTTACGCGAAAGACAAAGTATGACACTTGGCGAGCACAAGGAATTCCTGTTCTGAGTAAGCACCGCGGATGCACTGATGGCTAATCCGCGACAAAATATGTGCTTCCAAACAACCGTGATCTATTAAAAGTGTAGGCGCTCGTCTGAATACATATTTGTTTTTTTTTCAACGTCATACAAAGATGATGCACCGAGAAATATATGTAGCTCCCTTCTCTCTTCCCTTTCAAGTTGAGGTCAATTCCTCACTCTACTGGCCCCTGAATGAAAACCGTGCTAAATAAACGTTACAGGCATGCTTGATGTAACCGAAAACTTGTCCACATCGTCAAAGGACATTGTGTCAGACAATGCGTGGTGAGAATTTTTCTCCCGCTGACAAGTAGGAAATCTCTTAACGAATTGTGTCTTTTGCTTGTATTTGTACTTGATTCCCAACCATGAAACAAATTTCAAGTTAATGGTGTTCCTCATTCCTGTTCATGATTTTTTCTTTGCCTGTATGAATAAATTCGTAGCATCGACAGCGTTGAAAGCTAGCTATCGTTAATATTTTAAAATATTGAATTTTATTTTCGGCTACGTGGTTTCTTTGATTCTATATTCATGTTATTCACTAGTTTACATCTTGTATTTTACTTCTAATTGACAAGAAAATAAGACCTACACATAAAATAACTACTCATACTCAATGCGTCTATGCTGCTCTCGCTATGCGGACAAGCGCTGCTATTTCATCGCGTAATTCGAGTAAACCTATCATATCCTACGCACAAAACTTCATGCGTTCCTGTTCCTCTGCTTGACAGAAAGTTCTCCGTGTTTTCAGAGAACCTGTCTAAGAACAAGTTACATCAACCTTCCTGAGTCTATCATACCAGACGACGCTAAGATCTATGAACCCTGTGTCATCAAAATCTAGCCTAAGACTTACGGTAAAGTATCGACTTATAGGTATCGAATCTACCGAAACCTAATCCCAGATTTTTTTCTTCAAGCTCGGAAATAATTTCTTAACCTCCTACATAGGCATCTCATCACTTAGAGAGATAAAGGTTGATGGTGTTGAAGTTTCGCTTAAACGTTATGGGAGACTGAGTCTTCAGCTTGTGAGCCCTTTTTTCATGTGTCTGCACAGCATCGTGACACGGTCACAACCAGTCTATTTAGCTTTCATTAAAACAATACCTATTTTCACTTGTACGTTTTTGGCAACAACAATCACAGAAGAGATATACTTAACTAATACTAGACTACCTTTTTTCCTGTCATCACGATCACATTCACTTTTGTTCTTTGGGCAAGCCTATACAACATGCTTCGCCAAAACCTTTCAAACATTTCTAATCAATTTCGTCGACACGCCACAGGCGGGCGCAAGCAAAAGTTGAGGGTACACATGGTGGTCCTTATTACTATTTCACAGCACTCAACCACACAAATTCACCCATATGGGTTTAAAAAAGCAAAAAGGACAAAATAGTTACAGCCATAGAAGTGATGCGCCATCTGAGTTGGCATTCGCTTCAGACACACAGCAACACATGCACTTCTAAAGTAGCACAAGGCATAGGAAGATGCCAGTGATAGGTAGAGTCTGTTGTCGCAGTCTTCCATTGGTCGAAAGTGCTAGTGCGGCACTGAGACTGAGAGAAAATTGATGATGCGAAAAAAAAAGTACAAGAGAAATCAGCAAGAATGAATTTAAAGTTCTTCGTATTTGATCGACCAAACTAAGCAAAAAAGAAGTATAAGCAAGGAAAGCAGAAAGAAACAGTAGTGCGTTTCATTGTTTTTTGTCTGTGTCGGAGTGAAAGTTCACCCTCATGCCATAGTCACTTGATTCCCCTGCTCCGAACGCATGTGCACACTTATTTGTGTTCTCGTAGTCTTGCGTTCACGCTCACAACGACTTTCGGTGAAATGCAACCTCGCCGGGGAGTTGTATTCGGACCCATGGTGACTTCGCTGGGAGTGGCGACATTTTATTTACATCTTCGGAAAAACAGGCTGATGTCGACTGAAGGTGGCGAGGACTTTTATTTGTGCTATATGACGCCGTCTCTTTCACACTGCAGCACGGCCTTCTGTAAAGAAAATAAAAATAAAGCTCATGCTTTATCGAATCGCGCAAAAGGAAAGAGTGCATTTAATGTAACTTAAAAAAAAAGTATGTTGCAGACATGTCACGGTGGAAAAATAACCACTTTCTCAAGAACAAGCTTTACTGCATTTGGTGTTACTTTACAAAAAAGAACCAAAACTTCTCCACCGATACTCGCATATGCACTTAGACGGTGCTACGACGGGAGACAAGTTATTTGAGCGCAAGGTTGTTTGTGGTATTTTACTGGTTGTTTTTTTTTCTTCAGAGACATGATGTGTATTACATTAAAAAAAGAAGTCTAAAATGCGTTCACTGCATTTACACAATTGTCCAGGTACTAAGAATTTCACGTATGAAGCTTTCATTGAATGCTTACGGACATCGCGCAAGCTTAAATGGGCTCTGCCTCTGGTTCGAATAAACCCACACACTTTGCAACCGTAGCTCTGGGTTTAGCGCTCCATGCTGTGACGTCGACTTCTCAATTCTCATTTCATGTGCACACAAGGAAAGAGTCGGCCTTTTATTTCATTGGTGCTGGCGAGAGTAGCGCAACTGGCCCTTCGTCCTTTTTTCTGAACCGTGGCTGAACCTTACCGCAGCATATGGTTGCCTACCAGCCTCTGCCCGGTTAACTACCCTATGTTTTCTTGTCTATTTCTCTCTGAAGCACAGATGCCTTGCCATCAGACACGTAGGCCCAAAACTATCACATAGTGAATAAGGGAGAGACTTAAGGCTGTATACATTCCTGTCCCTCTGTCCACTATAGACAGTTAGAGTTTACATAATAACCTCGAAACAAGCGCACTAGACAGACAGGGATGAAGTTTGGGTGGGAAAGCTACGCAAAACTCCACGCAGGGCACAGATACAACGGTCCACGCGACTTCAGGCACTAAAGTGGAGACATGCCTGATAGGGCAGCAATTTACCATACAAGCATAAAACCATGACTGTCACCTCTGATAAGGCTTTCAGGCAGAAGTTAAAGGAGTGAAGAGGCGGAAAATCCTTCAACGGGGAGTGCGTCACTGGAGGCATGGTTGCGATGATTGGTCGTGTCTTCGAAGCGGCAGCTTCAGCTTGGCCTCGAAGTGGTCAGGGTGCTGTCTTAGTCTTCTTTGCAGCATCTACTTTACGTTGCTGCATCGAAGAAAAAAAAGCAGCAACCTGACCACTTAGCAGCAGACTCTTCAGGTTGCTGGTATTGTCTTATCGAGGAAGCAACCTGCATCCTCGAAGAAGACTCGACCATACGTCGAAACCCAGCGGCTCACTCCCCGTTCGAGGATTTTTCGTCTCCTTGATAAGGAGGTCACTAACCATAGAGGCGTGCACCAGACGCTGGTAACAAGTGTGGGTGCGCCTGGCCTGTCCTGCCGCTGCCAAAGAGTTCCCCCACGTCGACGTCCAAGGGGTGGCGGGCTTCGTGGCCGCATTAGCAGCAGCAAAGAAGCCGTTGAGGAGAAGCAGCGGCAGATGTCATATGATAGACTCTCGGTTGCGCTCCTGTTCGTCCGAGGAGCATCCACTGCTCTCTGGACTCGCGGCGCCGCATATCTGCAGCTCGATTTCGGCGAGCCGGCTCTCCACCTCCCACTGCTGCTGGCTCAACTTGACGCTCATGGTGGCGTTCTCAGCCTCGAGCGTGACCAGCCGCTCACGCAGTCTCTTGATCTCGGCAAGCAGGGCCTCTTGGGACGCGTCCCGGACCGAAAAGGGGCTCATGCCGCCGGCACTGCCCATCATGCCGCCGCACAGCAAGGGGCTGCCACAAGGAGAGACACTGCGTCAGTCTGACAAATTTCACATCACTGTACGCTACTTATTGCCTCACAAAAGAAATCCCACGTCAAAAATATGTTGCCCGAAAAAGAAATGTTCGAGGGAAAATCAAGTACTTCAAGTGATATAAGCTGATCAACGCTTCCAACAATGCACTTGTCTTTGCAAGGCCATTAACTACCTTTATTTATGGTGTGTGTCTGTACACTATCTTCAATCTCAAAAGTGAAAGAGGAGGTGAGACATTGTGTGCGCAAAAAAGGAAAAGGAAGGAAAGATTCGTTAGTGAGATGGAGAGGCTGGCAAGCCAATTGAAAATTCGAGGTTGTATTATTTGAGAGGACTGCTGACCTGCAGGTCGCGGGTTCAAATCTCGGCTGCGGCGGCTGCATTTCCGGTGGAGGCGGAAATGTTGTAGGCCCGTGTGCTCAGATTTGGGTGCACGTTAAAGAACTCCAGGTGGTCAAAAATTTCCGGAGTCCACCTCTACGGCGTCTCTCATAATCATATGGTGGTTTCGGGACGTTAAACCCCACATATCGTCATATCATCACTATTTCAGAGGAACGGGAATATAAATAGAAGAGCATTGATTTGTCCGCAGTTTTAAGAGAAACCGCGAAGTCATTGTGGTTTTCTGGCAGGCAAATCCGCAGCATGGTTCACACGAAGTGAAAGCAACCGAGCGTTCGAGCCCTCTGTGCCCGAAAACCACTCACCCGCGGTCACTAGACAAAAGCTTTGCAAACGTATGCTCTCGCATATCAAGATCTCAGACAAGCAAAAGTGGTATCCCAACCTCGGCACCATTAGCTGTGCCGTGGACGCGGGCGAAGTGCCGACCGGGCTCGCGTTGCTGGACAAGTCTGCCGCCACGTAGGGAACGCCCGGTGATGGCTGACGGTACGGCGATGCCGGTGTGGTGGTCACCGTCGTGCTCGTCAGCCGCCTCGACTCGGCCGAGGGCGCGGCGGGCGGCGGTGGGTGCTGCTTTTGGGGTTGCTGGTCGTGGCGTACGGCACCGTTATTGCGGCTGCTGCTGAGGGGGCTTTCGGCCGGCTGAGGGGAGGGCTGGAGGAGGGCGGCGACTGAGGAGGAGGCCTCCTTGGAGGGGGCGCCTGGTGTCACCTCTTCCAAGGGCAGCTTGCCTCGAGACTCGACCAGGCCCGGGGTGCTCCGGCTCCGGCCCAGGGACACTGCAGAACCACCGGGCCCCCGCCGCACGGGAGAGCCGCCAGCGGGGTGCCGCGAAACACACACGAAATAGGACGCGGCAGGGTAAGGCGGCCACCACACATACGCTTCTTCTTTGGCTCTATTTACAACTTGGTCAAATATTATTGTGTATGCTAAACTTGAATAATGAATTACTACTGAGTTATTCACAGGGCTTCTATTATTACGTTTTACGTTTTCACATCATCTATAGCTCATCCAATGCAGAACTATATCATGCTGCCCTATAAACTATTATACAGTGCATATTTATCATTCATGTTTTCTAATCGTTACAAAAGTACGGGAGTGCACAAAATAAGTCAGAGGGCTAGACAGATGGCCGCTCGCTGGCGGAGCACAGTCAGGTGGAAAAATATGGTGTCATGGTCCACGCATGCATGGCAGATCTAGCAATATCTAAAGCAGTGTTGCCTTTTGCCGAAAGGCTGACGTTGTTTGCGTCATATCGCTAATCAAAAATGTCGGTTTTCGACCATGTTAGCTGTCGGCACACCATATGTACACAGACCAATCAACTCAGTGGAATCGAAAGGATAAGGCGCCCAATCGAACGAACGCTCAAGCACGAGCGTGCGCCCACAAGCCATATCGAGTGGCATATCGCATCGGCTCTGCCCTTCGGTAACAGCGCTAACACGTGCATAACACTAGCCCTTTTTGGCGCAGAACAATGCCAGCCCAAGTGGCGTGAGGAATCGCTCTCTATGAGAACAGCGGATGCGCAGACCATGGCTGTAATTGTTCCATACGCAAGCTCGGCCGGCGAGCAGGCCACACCTCGTGTTTATCGATTTATTTTGTGAGAACCTGCTCTTAAAGTAAGCAACATGTTCATTACCACGATGTTTAATATACACGAACGAATATGGTTAATTAACAAAACTAGCTCACTGTCACCTAAGGTCCAAGCACTCTTCCATTTTCATTGTACTGTTTCAACGTTCTGAACTTCGGAGTACTCAGGAGATCCGGAAAACGACATTGACAGCATGCCCATTATGGCAAAGACACTACGATTAGTCTTAGAAACAGCAATCAGAAAGGTGCTCAGCAGAAATCTGCCAGACGTGCTATAGGATCATCTAATCAAGCATGATGTCTAAAAAACAAAGAGGTGGTGTGGTACTACTCTAGGATTCTAGAGGTTAGTGATACAGATAACATGCGCCATGCTTAAAAAATGTGCAATGTCACTTTCATGCGCAGGTAAATAAGTCCGTGAGCCAAAAATTTTGCAATCAATATCGTCCTGCTAGATGACGTGGATAGCGAAACCAAGATTACTAGCACACTCCATGGATAAACTTCAAGCGAGAGCATGTGAATTAACAGAGGCCAGCACCGTAAAAACAAATTATATTTGTGGTGTTTGGCAGTGTCTTGCATGTTATAGCCCTCGCGGTCTGCATATGGTGGCAAAACAACTAAAATTTCAGATGCTACGTATTTAAAGAAGTGGTATAGGCTGTGAATTATATGAATTATTAACGAGACTATGTAAAAACGGAACGAGTAGAAGCAAAACGTGAGACACTGACAGGTAGTCTCCAGGCCTCACAGCAAGGCTTACAAGACATCACAAAACGACTAGAAATAAATAACTGGAAAGACAGCCGTGCGAGACTTGGTGATCCAATTTCTGTCTAACGGGGCACTTAGGAGTTGTTTACGCGCGACAAAGTAGCGCTTGGCGCATTCCAGGCGTACTGGCCTGCGTTGGCCTCAACGGCACGACGCGCAAGCGGCCACAAAGGAGAAAAAGAAAGCCAGCGAGTGGGTGCGCGTTCTTCGCAAACAGGATTTTCCCGCTTTCTCCTCGAGAGCTTCGTGTGTTTCGAGCCAGGCAGCTTTCCCACGCAGCCTTTCTGGACTGAGGCATTCGCCTGGCGTGCGCGCTCGCTTGGCATGACGCACGCTACGCACCAAACCACCCTCAGTGATGTTCCGTACTGCGCCGAAGAATTCCCATTCAGATACATGACAATCCCATATTTCGGGGAGTTTCCCCTGCAAATGTTGACGAAATTCCCAGTGTATTTCCCTGCATAACGTTACTCATTTATGCCCCCATACACGCACACACATACTATAATTACACGTGGCTAACGTATACTGGCGAATTTCGAAATCATGACTAGCCCTTTCTCTGCCCCACAACAAAAGCATGGCTTTCTTAGTTCATGTACTTTTATTACACTGCGCATAGTGGGCTTCAAGTGTAACACCAATAGTGAACTGGAAATCGCTCCGTGTAAATATCAGAAACAAATCTCAAAGGCCATGCTTGCGTGGTGCATGCGTCATAACCGATTACAAAACATGTAGATACACTGTGACCACTGTATATCGGTCGTCATGGGAGAATTTCACCATTCCTGAAATTCCCTGCAATATTATGAAGATTTCCTTTTTCTTACTGGCTCGAAATGACAGGGGAAATTTCCCTGCACGGAACATCACTGACCACCCTCGAAGCTGTCGTGTTGAGCGAGCACGGGACGAGCGGCCTGGAGCAGCAGCGTCACCACGTCTGCTTATTTCGCTGTTGTTGCTTCCGTAATAAATGCCGTGCGTTTCTGTATGCATGTGTGTAGCGTGCCGAAGAATGCATCCATTCTGACTGCGCGGGCGTTGCGCTTTCACCGTCTGCGCATTTAGTCGCCGGCGCAAGAGTAGGCATTCGCGGCGGGACTCGCCGCCACCGCAGAAGAACCTTTCCTCGCATCTGGGCTTTCGTGCGCGCAAAACAAAGCAAATTTGTGGACGCAGTGCTGCTCTACGTAGCCGACTGGAGCCTCTGGCGCGTACTTGTGTACGTGGAGTGTTGTGGTACTTCTTCTGGAGAGCTTTGAGTGAAAGTTGCTGGTCCCCATGTAAAGATATTCATTTGCTCTTCCGCACGTTGCTGCATGTGAGGCCGCTGTGTTTCACGGGAGTCCTGGCGCGCGAATTCCCGTGCCAATATGGCACGGCCAACTTTTCATCAAGAGGCCACATCAGTATGGATGACCGGGGAAAGTTGCATTGCCTAGCTACGCTAGACCATTGGATAAGCTTGGCAGCTCTGCGCGTTTCATGCTGCTCTGAACTTTTTCAAACCAACATGTCCTTCTCTTACGCTTAAACGAGCTAATTGCCTACATATTTGAGCTTTTTAACCACCAGAGGGAAAGAGAGATATAAATAGTAGGACGGGCGGTAGTTTAAGAAGAAGGTGAATATTACGTTCATTACTCATTCTTGCCAAAGCAAAACTTAGTGAGTGAAATGATTATACGGTGCCCTTAAGCCATTTAAATATATGAGCGATAACAATAATTAGAGTTAAAAAGATAGAGAAGGAAAGAGTAATAGAAAGAAGCAGAAGCAAGAGATTCGAGAAAAGCTAAAGTCAGCAGGAGAACAAAGAGAAAGCATTCAATGCCAAATTGCAAGGCAGAGCAATGATGGGCAAAAGGTGCTGACAAAATATTTGAGCGCTTCTCTGGGCTACGGCTGAGTACCAGTTTCCGTCTTTGTTTTTATTCGAAGAGTGGTAATTATAGATTGACTTGTTAAACTTCTAATAACAAGATTCAATACATGACATCATGTCCAAACTATTAGCCAGGTTTCGATTTAACATCAGCGAGAGCAAGATGTTTCGCGCATACAATCTGCGTGCGGCTGTAGCACTCAGCAATTAAGTTCAGTGTACAATTGAATGATGCAGAACGAAAAGTTGATCTCGTCGGAATGCATCCACGATTGACCTGTGCTCTGTGTGCTCCTTTCATCTTCTGTAGCGCGGCTTCAATTACACTTCAGTGTTGTTTATGCATAGCTAGAGGCCAGTTGAGATGCTCTCAGATACAGTATACTACCTCTTTGATTTTCTACGAAGTATACTTCTTGACCGAATCTTTAATAATGTTCATGTTCTACAATGTATTACCTTAATAAGAGCGATAATTTCTCACACTTAAGTAATAATTGCAATGCTAGTGCTTTATTTCTCGAAATATGCTTAAAAGAAATTTGACCCATTTCCTTTAAAAATCATGTATTGATGCCAACGCTTCAAAGGGATGAAGACACGAACATTTTCTGTTGCCCTTTTTTCGTGTCAAATGAAAGTCCTAGCCCTAAATGGTCTAGAAACTGTACTGACAAGCCTGAGTGCACCCTGACGAAGTAATGACAGTATGCTTTTAAAAGCTAGTTTTGCTTCTTACATTACCTTGACGTCACAAATCATGTGAGCTTCCCCTTACATGCTCGTGCAAAATATCGTGACCTTTCCATGGCGCTCAACACCATGGCTCCATCGGTAACAAAGAGGTGGCCATTTTGGAAGTTTTGGTGCCGTCATCACAACTGACGTCATCTGACATCATCACAAAAACAAGGCGGCTGCATGAAGTCATCGGAATTCGCACTGTAGCCCAGTGGCGTAGCTAGGCGGTAGCACAACGAGCACTGCCCCCTCCCCCCCCCCCCCACCAAAAAAATATATAGTACATTTTTTCGCACGGCCTACATTACGAAAAAAATATTGTATACGCATTTGTTGAGCCTCACACTTTCTTAGAACCACCTCGGTATGCATTATAATTGTACGGCAGGGTAAACACACCTACTAATTTTGGGGACAGTAACTCCTCTAGAAGCTTAGGCGCTTCGATTACGATAGATGAGGTACACGCCAAAATCTATCTTGTGTGCCCAATCTACTTCTACTGACACTGGGTTCCATGGCATAATATGCATATACATATTATACGGGTACATTGCAATCACGTACAGCTTGATGCGACGAATATATTCTATAAAGTAAAATTCGAGCTGCTTAGTTTTATATCGGCGCTACTAAATGTAGCGCTTACAAAGATTACTCCTGAAAGAAACCTGTCTATAATGACCCCATGAATTATGGGGTCATTGAATTGATGTTTTACGAAGAAAAAAGGAAAACAATCGCAACCATTGAAATCAGCTTTCTCTTTTTTCTCTTAGAAAAGCTTCGGATAAATTTCACCTAATTGATGTCAGAGGATATATGAAGACCATCTTTTTATTCAGTTACATCGTTTTACTCATTATTCATTCGAGCACTAAATAAACAATGCGCAGGCGGAAAAACATACCTGGGAACCGTTACCACACAAGATACCCGCACTTCTCATTTATTCAACGTCTACTGTATATGGCAAGCTACTGGCCGACACAACTAAGGTTCCTAGAAAGGCGGATTTGCAATTATGGCAACGTTGATGTCTTCAGTGCATTTGAAATTTATTATGGTGACCGCATTGAAAAAATAAGGATGAAAGAAAAAGGGAAATAAAAAGAGCAGATTTGTGTCATGTATAATTTTTCAATAACAAATTGAGTATCGACAGATATCTCACGAGTTCCTCACTAATACCTGTAGCACGTACTTAACAAGTCAAAAATCAAAGTGAACCACTCAAAGAACTTAGTTTTCTAGTCCTTTCGTTTGTCTCAGGCTCCGCTTTTTGTTTTGTTGTTTTCATGAGCACAAAGGAGACACGCTCGTAGCTCATTTTGTGGCACACATCGAGAAACTCTCTCCTGTAGCGCATGTCAGTCACTGGTGGTGGTAGTGGTAAGAAGGTGAAGAAGGCGCTTCATTTCTGAACACGAAACAAGGACGGAATAAGGAACGCAACTGAGCAAGCAAGTAGTGGAAGACAGGAAAGAGAGGGCAGATCGGAGCAGGCAGGCGAGCGAGAGAGTGGGTATAATCAGTGAGTGGAAAGGGTGTGCCGGTGTACGGTATGTGCGGAGGGGCCTACTTGACGAACCTCTGTCGAGCGCGCCCAGATTGTCGGCGAGTCCGGCCTCGGAGGCGTACGAGGGGGCTCCCCTCATCGTCGAGGGGGCCGCGTAGCGCGCGGCTGGGGGTCGCGAAGCGGAGGAGGAAGGATGTAGTCGCTGGGCCAGCGTCGACGAGGAGAGGAGGAGGGGCGAAGCGGGCGCGTCCAGCTGGAGTACGGAGCCCGCGAGGAACCTACTTTTGCGCATCGGCTCTCGCTTGTACTTCTCCAGCCGCTTGACGGCGATCGCCTCGAGACGCACCCGGGCGGCGGGGTAGTCCTTGAGCACGTCCCACATGTCCTGCGTCAGAGAGGACAGCCGAGTTAGACGTCCTGCCAAAGATTCCGAATTCGTCAGACCGGAATCTCACCGAGTCAGCTCACACCTAGATGAGGTAATCAGTACACTCGTCTGAAGAGGAGCATGTCAGTTTTTTTTTTCACCAATAAACCGCGTCATGTGGGTCAACCCTTGGGGGTTGACAAACAAGCTGGTGAAATTGCAGTGCCTTTGGTCTAATACACAATTTAAATTATTATTTTTACAAACACGTGTGTGGCCTGAGAGTCTGAGAACACGGACGCATCCGCGTGCCGAGGCCGCTTTGTTTGCGTGCATTTGTATTCCGGCAATAATAATAATAATAATAATAATAATAATAATAATAATAATAATAATAATAATAATAATAATAATAATAATAATAATAATAATAATAATAATAATAGTAATAATAATAATTATACATTATTATTATTATTATTATTATTATTATTATTAGTATTATTATTATTATTATTATTATTATTATTATTATTATTATTATTATTATTATTATTATTATATTGTGATGCAATAAACCCTCTACTACTTTTCACTGAATACCTCTACTTGATGGCTGACCATGTGACAGCACTTTCAAGCAAGCCCTTTGGCACGACTCCATTTTATTGAGCTGTATTTTCTGTTGAAGACGGAGGCTTGCAGGGATGAGACAGTGTCTCACAAAGAACGTCACTGGAGTCCGAGTTTCGATAAAGGCTTTGTAGACGTAGCTCCAGTGACATCTTGTTTGGATCAGTTCTTGTGGCTGCATTTTGGGGTTTAACGTGATGAACTTCTAATGAATTTTGATTCTATAGTCAGATAAAGAAGTAGAAAAAGGCAGGTACAAGCTTGGGGTGCCAAGCCTGGATGAAGCATGGAGCTGGGCAGTCTTCTTTGTTCCTCTTCAGGATTCTCTCTCTTTGTTTTTTTTTTCATTTAGCGTTTTTATGTCTTTATTTCTCTCAATTTAAATTAGTTCTGCCGCTATCCTATTCATTTATATCTCTTCCTTGTTCTTTCTATTTTTCTCCTTCTCTGTTTTTCCATTTCATCATTGCTCCCTTTGTTCCTATTTTTATACGCAGTGTTGCGTGCATCAATCAAAGTGCACTGGTTCTTCTTTTTGCTGATGATAATTTATCATCACCAAGGCGTTCAAAGAACAAGAGCAACAACGCTTCTCCCTTGCACGAACGTGCGCTCACTTATCATCGTCAAGGCGCTCAAAGAACATGAGGGGGAAAACTCCTCCTTGGCGCCAGCGCACGCTTAATATGTTACGCAGAAAATCTTAACCTAAGCGAAAGCGACAGCGTACTACAGCCCACGACAGCATGACCGAGTGGCCGCGTTAAGTGCTGCGCACTTAGGTAATATAGAACATTACTTTTTCTAGCTTGCCTAACAATACAACTCGCCTCATAAGAAAAACCGTAGTGCAGTCCTATTAATAATTCTGAGAACAAGGTTTATTTTTTTTCTTTAAACATGTGCTGGTATCTTTCTCTAAAGGCACGCTTTTTCATGTTGTTATCGCGTACATACACTAGCTGCAGTCAGCATTATGCTGGCGACTTCCTGTTCAGCAGCGCTACAACTGACACTGTGGGCAATGTGGTTGCTGTGGCAACAGTGCGAGAGAGTGAGGGAGGTTTTTTAAAAACGTTGGATGTGTTAGTGCTCGACTAACAATACCAACAGCACATATAAAAATAAGCATTACAAGATAAACCTTACATACAAAGAGCACAGGAGTTTAGCCCTCCAAAACATAAGCTCTGGTAGTGTACTGCATTTCAGCATACGTCACTCAGTAGTGGGACATCTCAAGTACTGCCCTCAGATACAGTCCAGAGGGCCCGTGAGAAGTTTTGGCCTCCCGATTTCGACATGGCAGCAGCAAGAGCCGGGGCCCTCAACGGATTCCCCACGTTTCATTCCTTATGGCCTCAAAAAAGTTCTTTGTCACCCGGTGTGTTTGCCTTGAAGAGGGAATACTCTCTAACAACGTCACTAATGTGTTTTAGAGGAAAAATTAAAAGTGCTTAGATAATTGCGAGCACATCTACTAAATAGATTGATTGGGGTAGCATTATGTCTGAGTGAAATGAGTGCTATGGTTGCGGCGGAATAATGAGTAAGTCTATAGAGTACCGGCAACCTTAAGGGGTTAGTTAGACAAAAATAATTTTATTCGCAAACTCATGCGCTGCTTCTCCTAGGCACTTGGCATATCTAAACAGTGGACTCGCCCTCGGTACCTGCTTGTAGAGGCAGAAGAGGTCCGAGTAGCCGACGGAGCGCACCGAAGCCGTGCGGCGGTTGCCGGCCGTTCCCATGTTGAGGATGGAGATCTCGCCGAAGTAAGAGCCCGCGCGCAGCGTCGCCAGCACCGTCTTGCCGTTGTCCGTGACCACTTGGAGCCGGCCACGGTTCACGATGTACATCTCCTTGCCCACTTCACCTGCAGTGACGGAACGCAACTCCACCTGCTCACCACTGTACAAGGAAAGGTTTCTGTTCACGTAAAAAAAAACAAATACACCCTTTCCCACAAAAGGTATTCATTACCAGCATGCTAAGCAGCGCAAGTTACGTTCATCACCGGCGTCTTGCACGATGTTAATGCCTCCGTGTCAGTGGAGCACACCGTGAATTCACTGTTGTTTCTGTCGCTGTCACTCGTCCCGAAGCACGGTGTTACGCCGTGTCCCGAACTCTTGCTGGAGCACGCCACGCGGGAGCAGGTGCGTTCATCGCGCGTCTCCAGAATCTCGTTCACGGCCGCCATTACGTGATTGCTGAGAGAGCGCAAGGGGGAGAGGCCACAGCGCCTTACCCAGGCCGACACGCGCCAGCCCGTGAGCAAATTATGGCAGTGCTTGCGCCAGCTCTTGCGCATGCGCACTAAGGGTGGTCACGCCACACACCACCGAATTCAACTCCGCCATAAAATGCTTCGCATCTAATGAAGCAACCGGCCCTGAAAGTTACAACTGTACCCCTCACACACACATACAGTTTATAGCAGCCGCATATAATAAATGTTAGTTACGTTAGGTATAATTAACGCTTGTTTTTATTCTGCCTAATAAGATATATAATACCCACTCCCAGAAAACCATGCGCCACAAAGGAAATTGCAAACACTATCAAGAATAGAAAGGCTGAACGTTAAATTAGGTAGCAATGCAATACGATGCCGGCGTTCGTTCAAGATACTGATACCCTTCCCGCCAAGAGACACTTCGTATATAAAATGGCCAGTCCGTCTAACACAATTCCTCCTCCATCTTTCGGCAGGTCCGTTGCTATACCTTATCGTCACCAGCGGCTTTGCCTCTTTGCGTTCCTTCTTGGGTTTTCTTTACTTCCCCTGTCGTTATTTGTAGGAGGTCGCATTCCTCTGCGCTATTATTGCTTCTTACAATTTCATCCTGGCTGTTTTGGCTTCTTTACACCTCTCTGTAGCACTCCTTCGCCACCTCGACTATCCTATTGATGTTGGTTATGACATTGCCTTCGTTGTCGCTCATTGAATGCATACGATTTTTGTCTGTGCACAAGTTCGCCTTCTCAGCTTTTAGGCTTCTGCCGCTTTTTAGAGTTCTCACAATTCTCTCCATGTTATACATGTTGATGTCGGCTACCTTACTCCGATTGATTAACTTCGAAAGCTCCCCTAGCTGTATGTCGTTAGTGCCATTTGAGGCTTTGATGACTGGTCATCTCTTAATGATATTTTCCTCTCCTGGGGCAGTTTTCTAGACCCGCCGTGGCAATCTAGTGGCTAAGGTACTCGGCTGCTGACCCCAAGGTCACGGGATCAAATTACAGCTGCGGCGGCTGGGTTTCCAATGGAGGCGGAAATGTTGTAGGCCGGTGTGCTCATATTTGGGTGCACGTTAAAGAACTCCAGGTGGTCGAAATTTCCGGAGCCCTCCACTACGGCGCCTCTCAAGATAATATATTGATTTTGGGACGTTAAACCCCACATATCGATCGATCGTCGAGGCAGTTTGCCAGTGTCCCGTCTAGTGACTGTACCTTCGACTTCCATTGCACACTCTTTGATGATACTCGTAAGATTATCGTTCCCTTTCCAATGTTAACAGTGGTTACCTCGTTTAGAGCCTGGAATTCATTCTGAAGCGAAAAATTTGAATCGCTGTATTTTCCCTCTCACCGCTAGCTCATTCCTTGGATACATGCCTATCAGTTTGTGCTCTTGCATTTTTAAATATATGTGAATATACAAGCTGTCACCATTCTATGGTCACTGCGTCGGATCTTGCCACTACTTATACACAATGTACAATGCTTGGGTGTGCACACAGAATGAAGTCTATGTCATTTGTAGTTTCGCCATTAGGACTTTGTCACGTCTACTTAAAGTAAGCCCGTTTTCTCAAGAAGGTAGTCAAGATCCGTAATTATTACGTTCTGCGAACTCTACTAATAACTCCTCTTGGGCAATCATAGAGCCGATGCCATACTTCCCTCTGTATGGTCTCCGTCCTGCTGCTTGCCTACTTTGGCATTAACGTCACCCATCAGAATAGTATACTGCATCTTTACTTTATTAATGGCTGACTCTACGTCTTTATAAAAAGCGTCCATGGCTCGATGAAGGCGCATAGGCCAGTACCACCTTCATCTTGTACCTTTTGTGTAATTTAAATATGATACTTGCTACCCTCTCACTGATGCTATAGCGTTCCTCTATGTTGCCAGCGACATTATTGTGTATAAGAAACCCCACTGCTAGTTCTTTTCTTTCAACTAATCCACAATAGTATAACACGTGTCCATTCTTTAGCACTGTATAAGTCTCCCATGTCCTCCTATAACTTCGCTGAGCCCTACTACATCTGCAGTTCACACCCTCTAATTCCTCGAATAGCAAAGCCAGACTAGCTTCACTAGATAATGTTCTAGCGCTGAACGTAGTTCAGATTTCAATGGCAGCCTGTCCCGACGCAGTGATTCTTAGCACCCTCCACTGCAGGTCTGACCGCCGCCTTAGACAGTTGGTTCTCACTGCTGGGGACTGAGGGTCAAGGGTTGATTAGCACTTTCGTAAGAGAGGTAGGATGGTCAAGATAGCGGCTAACATTTTGTCGTGAGCAATGCGACTGGAAAATTTTCTTTGTTGGGGCTAAGAGCAGTGTTCTTACACAACATCTCAGAAAGTCATCGCTTGCTACATTCGGATCTTGAACGACTGGCTCTGCGGCGTAGTTATAGAAATGTCATACTTGGAGGGAAGTGATAAGGGTGAGTGAGAGAAGCTGACCTGACTGAAGCCAGAAGGCAAACTTCACTTCAGAAAAAATAGTTTACTTGTACAGATAATGCCGAGTAAAATTGAAAGCAAGGTCAAAAGAGGTAAATCTTCGTTTGGCACCGACGAAGGCACTTTAGTGCCCTCTGCTTTTAGCAGTATGTTATGTCACACACGGTAAACTGCTGTTTATCACAGAAATGTGCGACACCATAAAATGCCCAAGGGTACGGGTTTCTTTCATTCACGACAAAGCTAACCTGCCGTTGTTCTGCGCCACGTAAGACAGGCCGCCACAGTGGTCTGTAATACTCGACTGCTCACCCGCAAGTTGTGGAACTGAATCTTGATGGTGTGCGCATTTTCGATGGAGACTAAAATGCTCGATATCCTTAGAGCCCCAGGTGCTCGCAATTTTGCGAACCCTCCACTAACACGTCTCTGAAAACTATATCGTGCTTGCGAGATGGTGAACCACGGCAATTATCATGAAAAACGGCCCATTTAACGTCGTGACATTAAAAATGAGACATTCACTGGTAATTTTTATTGTCAACTGACATGCGTTACTTAAGCGCCTGTCTTTGGTTTATTCGTCGCACTAGTAGGCTTACGGTAGTGTATGTAACGCTGCGGTACATTGACACACAACGACCGCACCTTTCCTGCAGATGTAGTCGCCAGGGCTGAAGAGGACGGGTCTCAGGCGGAGCACTAACTCGCATAGGAAGCCTGCCTCGGTGTTCTGAAAGATTTCGACACGCTTGAGCGTGTCGAGGTGAACGTGGATGGCGATCTCAGCCTTGAGCTTGTCGGGCAGGCACCCCACCGAGCGCTCCTCGTCCGAGCACTTCTGCGTCAGCCAGAGGTAGTCGAACCACCGGATCACCTTGTTCTGCAGGTGCTCCGGTACGTGACGCATCCGCATGTACGTCTTCACCGCGTCCAACTTGGCTGCAACACACAGTCAAAAGGGCAGCTTATCATTTGGTTGTTCTGACAGTTTAATATACGAGTGATTGTTTATCGGTCACCTCGTGCACTGATCACGTGCTGCGCGATGCCCTTTGGCAAATGGGGCTTTCACACTCGCCGCCTTGTCTGCGAGTGACGCTGGCTGGCGCTTTCCGGCACAGTGAACGAGGGTGCACCCTACGACCTCGTAGCTACATCGGCAGAGCGCCGGACGCGCAAGCTGTGCGTTCGAAGTCAACTGACAGAGAGGATGCTTTTTCGCCCACGTTGGCGCCTTTCTATCGAGGTCATAATGATTACTGTAGAATTAAATACAAGAATGAATGTGATGTTATCAGTCATGTGTTGGTATCATGGGTTGTGTCTAAAAAAGAAACGAGTCCAAAGAAACAATCCCCCTTATTTTGGAAATGAATGGGCACTGATGGTACGCTCGTTAACACTTGAAAGGGGTGAAACACTGCCTTGCTGGTGTGACACACTACGATTAAAGCGCAAGTAACACTAAGACAGAATGAAACAAGTGCTGCATTTTTTCCTGTATAGGACCGAAGGACTCCAAGAGTTTTGTTGTCCACGCGTGGCAGCTGTCGAACACAGACGTGGGCATCGTCACTTGATTTATGGAGCTTTGTAAGCGTGCAGATGGCAGCTCTGCACGTTAGTTAAAATGTCTCATAGCATCTCTCTGATATACCCTGACTGCCTTCTCAATGACGCCGAGGAGTTCTCTTGTAACAGTTTTGTAACAAATGAAAAAAAAAACAGTGCAGGAAGACAGGGACAAAATGGCGAACGAGCGGTTACTCACAGCTGACTTTTATTGACCGCAGTTTACGAAATATGTAACGTAAACACGAAAACAAAAACCTGTTCAGCAATCTATTGCACGTATCCTCCACTCATAACAATCGCTTCCTCATCCAACTATAAAAAGTCCCAGCACATCCACGAAGTGAATGATGATGAGTGGGTGAAGCTCCGGAGGTACATTGGTAAATCGTGAATCTTCTGTAAACATTGCCCAGTCGATCATCATGTTAAGACGGCGAGCACGCGCTGCCGCCGTTTTCTGAGCCCTCCACCCCGCCGCCTTGTCTTCGTCGCTCATACCCAAAGCACAGAGACTGCCTGCCGGCAAAACAGGAAGAGCGAACGCGGTCTGCTAGTACACGAGAGCACTCATTCCAATGGTGCGCGCACCGCAATGTGAGCAATTCGAGTACTAGTGGCATGAGCGCCACAGCGCTTTCTATAGTGAGTGCTTTGAGTACTAGTGCTGGCTACTGCAACACGGAGCTTGCCGACGTCTTAATGAGTTTCGCCCCTAGTATCTACAATGAGCTTTCAAAGACGATTGCCTTTCTAGGGGACCTTCGACGCAAAAATTTTGGTCTGTCTGTCTGTTTTTGTCCGCCCTTAACAATACCCCAAACGACACCAAACAGCACCCCAAACGGTCGACCTCATCCGCAGCGCCCACCAACATTGCTCAAGATTCAGCGTTCATACTTGTGCGACTGCTAATTCATCATAATCATCATCAGCCTGACTACGTCCACTGCAAGACAAAGGCCTCTCCCATGTTCCGCCAGTTAACCCGGTCCTGTGCTTACTGCTGCCAATTTATACCCGCAAACTTCTTAATCTCATCTGCCCATCTAACCTTCTGTCTCCCCCTAACCCGCTGGCCTTCTCTGGGAATCCAGTTAGTTACCCTTAATGACCAGCGGTTATCCTGTCTACGCACTAGATGCCCGGCCCATGTCCATTTCTTCTTCTTTATTTCAACTATGATATCCTTAACACTCGTTTTTTCCCTAATCCACTCTGTTCTCTTCTGGTCTCTTAAGGTTACACCTACCATTTTTTCTTTTCATTGCTCGCTGCATCGTTCTTGCCAATTGCCAATTAAAAAACAATAATTGCGCATATCTGAGGCACCATACCAACACGTCAATATTCTGTATGTGTGTCTTTATACTAGAAAAGTCGTACATAAGTCATTCTAAGGACCATAGCGATTATCATGCTGCGCTGACAATGCAACGTTTGCACGAAAAAGCAAGTGTTTCTAACGCTTTGCTAAGACGACACGGTGGTGACACTTACCCGTCACCTTGCGTTCTACACGTTATCGCCTCCGAGACGGGCGTGCATGCCACGTGCTTAGTTTTCCAAGATAACTGCCCAATTGCACTCATGTCTCACGTGTGACCTGACTTGATGCACTCGTTCGCCTCCGCTGCACGCTCTAGGCACTCTAACTCATCGCCTCCAAAATACCATTCACCGATTTTCTTGCGCCGAACATGAAATAAACGTTTTGTTCACTTTCTACAGACGCAAGACTATCGTCGTTCGACGACATTGGCAGTGTAACATGCAGATACGGGGCCATTTGTTTTTATACTGGTCAGCGCAGTAGTGACACCATGCTTGCACGTGCGCTTTCCCGTCTTACCTATGGGAGACGACGATGAAGTGTCTGCCTAACAGTGATGGTTCTATTCAGTGTGCCTACGCTGATTTAGGGAGCCGAATTCAGCTTGCGCGAAAAATAAAGCAATACGCTGCAGTAGTAACACTAGCCTAGCTAAGCTTATGGCACTTTGGATCACTTCATTTTATCACATTCTCTACACCGTATAAATTTTCCACTATTAATTACTGAGTGGGTGGCAGAAGGTTTAAAATCGAGAATTTTATAGCATTAGGGATGGATGTTCCGCATCTGAATTCAAACTAACGCGGAGTTCCCCAATTAGCAGTATTATTACCAGTATTATTCAATGCCTTAATGAGCACCATTCCAACTGATCAGAAAGCTAATGTCTACATTTACGCTGTTAATATTGCATTCTTCGCTGCTGACTGTGGCATTTACTCATAACTTTTTTGCAAAGTTACAATTATGTAAAAAATTTGGCTGCCATCGATTGCATTGTCGTTAAATTTCAGAAAAAGTACACTTTGAGTGTTTCCGCCTGCCGACTCAATTTAAATTTTAGTACTATATAAAAAGGAACCAATTCAACAAGTCGACTCTATCAAATATTTAGGCATTCACTTACAATGAAATGCTTAACTGGAACCCACACATGGAGCATATAGCTTTCAAGGCACAACGGGCCTCAGGCTTATTGAGCAAACTGTGTAACAGTAAATACGGGTTACGCAGGCACACCTTGGTAATCTAGAATGATATGCAAATGCGCCTGATACTGGAATTGGGATGCGTAAGGCACACTCGCTATTGCGCCTATTCCCTTAAGGCCACGTATTGGGTGTCTAGCAAGTTCAAAAAGGCTGAATGCACTAAGTGTATGAAATACGCACTAGGAACAAAATATCGCTATCGCGTTCAACCCCCAAAGCCAAGGTTTAGGTTCCCGTAATTTTTATTTAAACTTCCGGAAGTCAAGTGCAGATATAGAAAATCAGCAATTTGTACTTATATGATAGAAACAAAACTACGTGAAAAGAATATAACCACCTCAAGTTGCCCTGGAGACCTTAGTGGTGTCAGTCCAGTAAGCTCGAAACTATGATTACCAGATTTCGATGCCCTGCCATCCTTCTAAAATCATATTTACGCAGAGCTGGTCAAGGGATATCACCACTCTGTGAATTTTGAGAAAAAATTAGAAACAATTGAACAATATTTTTTTATCATGTCGCCGATACCCTTTACTTAAAAATAGGGTTCTAGTAATTCCCTTTTAAAGATAGGTGTAATTAGGTTGACGGTAGAAACTGTCCTGAACTTTGGCGCCTCTGTCTTGGGACATTGCCACGGGGATGCAATCAATGCGGTTTACGATTTTATTCAGGCTAGCAAACGTATCCCACTTTAAATCTTCTGTCTGATAAGTGCTGTTGCGTAACAATAAAAAGTGTTTGAGCATGTAGATTCTGAATGGTTGGGTGAAGTAAGCGCAGCTGTCTGGTCCTCTCAAAAATGATTTCCCTTGTTCTTGTTTTTTCTATCTCTCTCTCTTTATTGTTTTCTCGTATTATTTGTATTTTAGTATAAATGTATTCATAAAACAGTTGTAATTCTCATAAAAATTAAGCTACGCTTTCTTTGCCAATCACCCTGAGTGAGTGAGTGAAATAACTTTATTGGGTCCACACTACACGATAGTTAGCTCAGCGTTTCCTGGCTAAATCCCCCTTAGTGGTCACATTTTAGAGTAATCAAATCAAATAAAAGTCAGTACGCTGTTCGAGTGTCTGTTGCTTTTTTTGTTCCAAAATATTTGAACCTCCTGAAGCCTACCACTGCGTTTATCGGCAACGTTCACGGCGGCCGCTTCGAGGAAGCAGACGGGTCCTCGCTGCGACATTGAGTACACTTATGTCTACTCATTGACAGGTGAGGGGCCATTTGAGGTTGACTACGAACTTCGAACTTGTAACGAGCAGAAAGGCGAAGAGGCGCAACACCAAGTCCTCTTCATCCCTGAACACACCGAATAAAGGAGTGCTTCAAAGGCCCGAGGCCAACACCGTCATTTTCACTCCTGTTGAGCCCAATGGCCACATTAGGCGCTTCAACGGGCAATCTGTTTCGGCGCTGCTCGAGGAACTGGTGCCTAATCAAATCATCTACACCAAAGTAGAACCGCGTGAAAATGTGATGGCGATTGGTGTTTCGTATGCTGCCGCTCTGAACATATATACTGCGCCACGCTAAAAAGCTGGATGAAATTAGCGTGCGTTCTTGCATCCCGGTGTCCTCCAGCATTGTCACCTGCGTCATCTACGACGCTGACGCTGCCATTCACATCTCCGACTTCTATGGCCTGGTCAGCATCATCGCAAATGTCGCTCATTTGGGTACTTCGCACTGCTTGAGAATAGATTTTAAAGGCACCTCTCGACTTTCGTACGTAAAGGTGGGCCACTTCCGTCATCCTGTAAGAGCTTTTGTGTTGAAGCCACTGCAGTGTCACAACTGCATGAAGTTTTGTCGC